GGTTTACAGATTTTAAAACTACCCTGTAATCATAATTTTAACACATATTTACAGAGGTAGGGCCTACTTACTAGATTAATCCTATTGACTGGAAATGATTGGATTGGAAGTTTATTTTTCATGAAAATTAAGGAGAGTTGCTATGCTCACTGCTCGACAGCACTGGCCCCTCCATTAGGATGCAAAGGACTAATCGGAATCAATTCACTTTACATTGGAAATCTTACAGAATATTTTGATGGGCGAAAGGCCAGTTGTTCTAGCAACCAGCAGATCATTAGTTATATGGTGCTCCCCTGCTCCAAATCTTTACTGCCAAGTTACATGCTATTCACAGCAACTATACTCCTGCAGAAACTAAGATTTTACTGTTTGAGAGATTACCACGTCATCTTCCACCTCCTCTATAAAAAAGATTCCATCAGCATTAAGAAATCTTGGCTGCAATAATTTATTTGTTTACTTGTTTATGAAACCCAATTTCTTTAAAAAGCTGGAGCTCAGTGAGCTATTTTAATCTTTGTGAAGGGCCAAGGAGAGAAAGAGACAATATCCTGGTATTATTAAAAACCAGTTGACATAGCTAATATGCAGTTCAACACATATCTACATGTATGTTAATAAACACTTGCAAATAATGTTTAATTAGATTGCTAATTCACTGAACTTGCACATCCAGCTGAAAAAACAGTTGTTTTTGTAGCCAGCATATGATCAGGTCAAGCTTTTGCCAGTATAAACTCTTCTAGACACACTGACAGGTTTGCTCCAGCCTTTTCAGTCAAACAAAAATAGAAAGCTCTGGAGAAGAATAAGTCTTATTGGTAGTTCGAATGGAAAAGAAATTGCTAAATCACTCATCAGCCTCTCAGTACTTTGGGTAAGTAACTGATGAGCTGAGTCAAAATCCTGTATTAGTCGGATAAAACCAAGGTACGAATGTTAGCTTTGCAACTCAAGCCACTCATACGCTGAATCTTTGTATTTCTGGACAATTTGGTTCCACTTCTGTTTGAGAGAAAAAGCCAATAAATAAGCAAGCATTTTCATGACTCACACTGTCCTGGTCTCAGCTCATTGCGCTTGCCAAAGGGGCCTTTCCCCATGCCTGCCCAAAGAAGCATCCTCCTTCCTCTTCTCCCTGCTCTGCAGAGGGACCCATTCAGCTCGCTGGAAAGCACACACTGACTCAAGAACTCACATCGCTTTTCTGGGAATAAGGCACTCTGGCAATATGCCAGTCTAAGCTGTAAAATGATTCAGTACTCCTGAAACAGTGGAGCAGCCTGTATTTGCCAGATAACTCAAACACCAGAATTACTGTCTTTAAGGATGAATAATAAGGCTAATTTATTTATTAAGACAGAAAAAAACACTCCTTTGCAAAGCTGGAAACAGACTTTTGAAGTATAACCAAATGTAACGTGTGTTCAGACACTATCTGAAGTGAATTTTCTTCTAGTCTGTTACTTGAGGGATTCCCCTCCTAGCTGCCACTTGACTACAGGGCTGAGCGAGGACTGCAGCAGGTAAAGTCCCTGCCAGATTGAATCCTCAGGGAACACCCTCACCTGCTCT